GAAAAGTGGAAGGTGGAAGAGGGAAAAAAAAGTGGAAGGTGGAAGAGGGAAAAGAAAAAGTGGAAGGTGGAAGAGGGAAAAGAAAAAGTGGAAGAGGGGAAGAGGAAAAAAAAAAAGAAAAGTGGAAGGTGGAAGAGGAAAAAGAAAAAGTGGAAGGTGGAAGAGGAAAAGAAAAAGTGGAAGGTGGAAGAGGGAAAAAAAAAAGTGGAAGGTGGAAGAGGAAAAAGAAAAAGTGGAAGGTGGAAGAGGAAAAGAAAAGTGGAAGGTGGAAGAGGAAAAAAAAAGTGGAAGGTGGAAGAGGAAAAGTGGAAGGTGGAAGAAAAGTGGAAGAAGGAAGGGAAAAAGAAAAGTGGAAGGTGGAAGAGGGAAAAAAAGTGGAAGGTGGAAGAGGAAAAAAAAAGAAGTGGAAGGTGGAAGAGGAAAAAGAAAAGTGGAAGGTGGAGGAAAAAAGAAGAGGAAAGAAAAAAAAAGGGAAGGTGGAAGAGGGAAAAGAAAAAGTGGAAGGTGGAAGAGGAAAAAAAAAGTGGAAGGTGGAAGAGGAAAAGTGGAAAAGAAAAAGTGGAAGGGAAAAAAAAAAGAAAAGTGGAAGGTGGAAGAGGGAAAAAGAAAAAGTGGAAGGTGGAAGAGGAAAAAATGGAAAGAAGAGGGAAGGTGGAAGAGGGAAGAAAAAGAAAAAGTGGAAGGTGGAAGAGGAAAAAAAAAAAGTGGAAGGTGGAAGAGAAAAAAGAAAAGTGGAAGGTGGGAAAGAAAAAGTGGAAAGGGGAAAAGAAAAAGTGGAAGGTGGAAGAGGAAAAGAAAAAGTGGAAGGTGGAAGAGGAAAAGAAAAGTGGAAGGTGGAAGAGGAAAAGAAAAAGTGGAAGGTGGAAGAGGGAAAAAAAGTGGAAGGTGGAAGAGGGAAAAAGAAAAGGAAGGTGGAAGAGGAAAAGAAAAGTGGAAGGTGGAAGAGGAAAAGAAGAAGTGGAAGGAAGAAAAAAGAAAAGTGGAAGGTGGAAGAGGAAAAAAGAAAAAGTGGAAGGTGGAAGAGGGAAAAGAAAAGTGGAAGGTGGAAGAGGGAAAAAGAAGAAGTGGAAGGTGGAAGGAAAAAGAAAAAGTGGAAGGTGGAAGAGAAAAAAAGAAGAAGGTGGAAGAGGTGGAAGAGGAAAAAAGGGAAAGAAAAGTGGAAGGTGGAAGAGGGAAAAGAAAAAAGGAAGGTGGAAGGGAAAAAAAAGAAGTGGAAGGTGGAAGAGAGAAAAGAAAAAGTGGAAGGTGGAAGAGGGAAAAGAAGAAGTGGAAGGTGGAAGAGGGGAAAAGAAAAAAGTGGAAGGTGGAAGAGAAAAAGAAGAAAAGGTGGAAGAGGGGAAAAGAAAAGTGGAAGAGGAAGAGGGAAAAAGTGGAAGGTGGAAAGAGAAAAGAAGAAGTGGAAGGTGGAAGAGGAAAAAGAAGAAGTGGAAGGTGGAAGAGGAAAAAGAAAAAGTGGAAAAGAAGGAAGAAGGAGGGAAAAGAAAAAGTGGAAGGTGGAAGAGGAAGAGAAAAAGAAGAAGTGGAAGGTGGAAGAGGGAAAAAAAAAGAAGTGGAAAGGGGAAGAAGGGAAAAAGAAGAAGTGGAAGGTGGAAGAGGGAAAAGCTGGAAAGGGAAAAGAAAGGTGGAAGAGGAAAAGAAAAAGTGGAAGGTGGAAGAGGAAAAGAAAAGTGGAAGGTGGAAGAGGAAAAGAAAAAGTGGAAGGTGGAAGAGGGAAAAAGAAAAGTGGGAGGTGGAAGAGGGGAAAAAGTGGAAGGTGGAAGAGGGAAAAAGAAGAAGTGGAAGGTGGAAGAGAGAAAAAGAAGAAGTGGAAGGTGGAAGAGAGAAAAAGAAGAAGTGGAAGGTGGAAGAGGGAAAAGAAGAAGTGGAAGGTGGAAGAGGGAAGTGGAAGGTGGAAGAGGAAAAGAAGAAGTGGAAAAGAGGAAAAGAAGAAGGAAGGTGGAAGAGGAAAAAAGAAGAAGTGGAAGGTGGAAGAAAAAAAGAAAGAAGAGGGAAAGGTGGAAGAGGGAAAAAGAAGAAGTGGAAGGTGGAAGAAAAAAAGTGGAAGGTGGAAGGGGAAAAGGGAAAAAGTGGAAGGTGGAAGAGAGAAAAAGAAGAAGTGGAAGGTGGAAGAGGGAAAAAGAAAAAGTGGAAGGTGGAAGAGGGAAAAAGAAAAAGTGGAAGTGGAAGAGGAAAAAAAGAAGTGGAAGGTGGAAGAGAGAAAAGAAGGAAGGTGGAAGTGGAAGAAAAGTGGAAGAGGGAAAAGAAAAAGTGGAAGGTGGAAGAGGGAAAAAGAAAAAGTGGAAGGTGGAAGAGGGAAAAAGAAAAAGTGGAAGGTGGAAGAGGGAAAAAGAAAAAGTGGAAGGTGGAAGAGGGAAAAAGAAAAAGTGGAAGGTGGAAGAGGGAAAAAGAAAAAGTGGAAGGTGGAAGAGGAAAAAAAAAAAGAAGTGGAAGGTGGAAGAAGAAAAAAGAAAAAGTGGAAGGTGGAAGAGGGAAAAAGAAAAAAGGTGGAAAGGAAAAAGAAGAGGGAAAAAGAGAAAAAGGGAAGGTGGAAGAGGGAAAAGAAAAAAAGTGGAAGGTGGAAAGAGGGAAAAGAAAAAGTGGAAGGTGGAAGAGGGAAAAGAAAAGTGGAAGGTGGAAGAGAGAAAAGAAAGAAGTGGAAGGTGGAAGAGGGAAAAAAGAAAAAGTGGAAGGTGGAAAAAGAAGAAGTGGAAGGTGGAAGGGAAAAGGAAAGGTGGAAGGGGGAAAAAAAAAAGTGGAAGGTGGAAGAGGAAAAAAAAAAAGTGGAAGGTGGAAGAGGGAAAAGAAAAGTGGAAGGTGGAAGAGGGAAAAAAAAGAAAGTGGAAGGTGGAAGAGGAAAAAAAAGTGGAAGGTGGAAGAGGGAAAAAGAAGAAGTGGAAGGTGGAAGAGGGAAAAAGAAGAAGTGGAAGGTGGAAGAGGGAAAAGAAGAGTGGAAGGTGGAAGAGAAAAAAAAGAAAAAGTGGAAGGTGGAAGAGGGAAAAGAAAAAGTGGAAGGTGGAAGAGGAAAAAAGAAAAGGAAGTGGAAGGTGGAAGAGGGAAAAGAAGAAGTGGAAGGTGGAAAGGGAAAAAGAAGAAAGGTGGAAGAGGGGAAAAGAAGAAGTGGAAGGTGAAGAGGGAAAGAAAGTGGAAGGTGGAAAGAGGAAAAAGAAAAAAGTGGAAGGTGGAAGAGGAAAAAGAAAAAGTGGAAGGTGGAGAGGGAAAGAAAAGTGGAAGGAAGAAGAGAAAAAAGAAAAAGTGGAAGGTGGAAGAGGGAAAAAGAAGAAGTGGAAGGTGGAAGAGGGAAAAAGAAAAAGTGGAAGGTGGAAGAGGGAAAAAGAAAAAGTGGAAGGTGGAAGAGGGAAAAAGAAAAAGTGGAAGGTGGAAGAGGGAAAAAGAAGAAGTGGAAGGTGGAAGAGGGAAAAAGAAGAAGTGGAAGGTGGAAGAGGGAAAAAGAAAAAGTGGAAGGTGGAAGAGGGAAAGAAAGTGGAAGGTGGAAGAGAGAAAAAAGAAGAGGGAAGAGGAAGAGAAAAAAAGAAGTGGAAGGTGGAAGAGGAAAAGAAGAATGGAAGGTGGAAGAGAAAAAAAAAGTGGAAGGTGGAAGAGGGAAAAGAAAAAGTGGAAGGTGGAAGAGGAAAAGAAAAATGGAAGGTGGAAGGGGAAAAGAAAAGGAAGGTGGAAAGGGAAAAAGAAGTGGAAGGTGGAAGAGGGAAAAAGAAGAAGTGGAAGGTGGAAGAGGGAAAAAGAAGAAGTGGAAGGTGGAAGAGGGAAAAAGAAAAAGTGGAAGGTGGAAGAGGTAAAAAGAAGAAGTGGAAGGTGGAAGAGGGAAAAGAAAAGTGGAAAAAGGGAAAAAGAAGGGAAGGTGGAAGAGGAAAAAAGAAGAAGTGGAAGGTGGAAGAGGTAAAAAAAGAAGAAGTGGAAGGTGTAAGAGGGAAAAAGAAAAAGTGGAAGGTGGAAGAGGGAAAAAGAAGAAGAGGAAGGTGGAAGAGGGAAAAAGAAGAAGAAACAGAAGAAGAAGAAATCCTTCATTTAATATCTCCATTTCTTTCATTGTTTTTCTTTCTCGTTTACTTTTTCATCTTTTAATTTATCTTTTTGTACTTTCTTTGTCGTTTCTTCAACTCGTTATATTCGTTTCTCTCTTTCGTCTTTATTTTCAAACCGTTATCTTCTTTCGTTCGTTCTTTTTCTTTTCTTTCATCTCATTCCGTTCTTTCTTTCTTTCTTTCTTTCTTTCTTTCTTTCTTTTTCTTGCAACTCATTATCTCCCTTTCATTTTTTTTCATTTTTTTCAACGTGTTTTTTCCTGTCTTGTTTTTCAGTTTTTTTATTTTCTTGACTTACCACCAGAAATCTGCTTTCTTTCTTTCTTTCTTTCTTTCTTTTCTTTCTTTCTTTCTTTCTTTCTTCGAACTCGCTAATTTTTTTGTTTTTTGGGTTTTTTTTTTCAATTTTGTTTTTTTTTTTTATCTTTCAAATAGTTATTTACTTTCTTCTTTTTTCTTTCCTTTTTTCTTTCTTTCTTATCACATGTTACCTACTTTCTTTCTTTTTTCATTTTTCGATCTCGCTATCTTTTTCTCGACTTGTTTTTTTTTTTTTCACTTTTTATTTTTATTCAACTAATTATTTTCTTTTTTCTTTTCTTTCTAATTTTCTTTCTTTACTTCTTTTTTTCTTTCTTTGTTTGTTTCGGACTCCTTGTCATGTTCTTTCTTTCTTTGTTTCTTTCTTTTCTTCTTTCTTTTCTTCCTTCTTTCTTACCTCTCGTCATCTTCTTTCTTCTTTGAACTCACTTTTTCCGCTCTTGTTTTTTCATTTTTTTTTTTTCTTGCTTTCTTTCTCACCATTATCTGTTTTCTTTCTTTTCACTTTCATTATTTGAACTAGCTATTTTTCATTTCTTTTTTTCCACTTTTGTTTTTCTTTCCTTTTTCTTTCCTCCTTTCTTTCTCTCCTCTCTCTCTCTCTCTCTCTCTCTCTGTTTGTTTTCTTCTTTCTCGCTTCCTTGCTTTCATTCAACCAAACTATAAAAATAAAGACGATGAAAAAGAATAACACTGAATGAAAAAGAAAGAGAATAATGAGTCAATAACGACACGAAATAGGGAATACAAGAACGTGGAATAATAAGAAAGAAAGAAAGAAATAAAGAAAGAAAGAAATAAAGAAAGTAAGAAAGAAAGAAAGAAAGAATGAAAGACAAAAAGAAAGAAAGAAAGAAAGAAAGAAAGAAAGAATGAAAGGCAAAAAGAAACTACAAAAGAAAGAGGGACGAAAGAAAGAAAGAAAGAAAGAAAGAAAGAAAGAAAGAAAGACAAAAAGAAACTACAAAAGAAAGAGGGAAGAAAGAAAGAAAGAAAGAAAGAAAGAAAGAAAGAAAGACAAAAAGAAACTACAAAAGAAAGAAAGAAAGAAAGAAAGAATGAGAGGCAAAAAGAAACTACAAAAGAAAGAAAGAAAAGAAAGAAAGAAAGAAAGAAAGAAAAAAAAGAAAGAAAGAAAGGCAAAAAGAAAACTACAAAAGAAAGAGGGACGAAAGAAAAAGAAAGAAAGAAAAGAAAGAAAGAAAAGAAAAAAGAAAAACTACAAAAGAAAAAGAAAAAGAAAGAGGGAAGAAAGAAAGAAAGAAAGAAAGAAAGAAAGAAAGAAAGAAAGAAGGTGACGTGATTTTCATGATCAGATATAAGAAAGAGCGGGAAGCAATATAAGAGATATTAAAGAAAAAAGAAAGAGAAAGAAAGAAAGAAAGAAAGAAAGAAAGAAAGAATTGAATTAGTAGGAAGAGTATCCTAGAAGAGGAGAGAGGAAGAAAAAAAGAAAGAAAATAAATAGTATTTTGATAAGAAAAGCTAGAAGTATTAAATAATGTTAGAAATGGTGAGAAACGATGAAAATTATGAGGCTGATCAGACGCGGATTTACTTTATAAATAATGTTAGTGGAGAAATGATCGCTCTCGGCTGGACCCATGGGAAAGGAAGTCTGATGTTATGGAGGCCCGAAACTTTCTTTGACCCCAGAATAGACTTCAGTGAGTAAGCATTCTGGTATACAGTATATGCGTATAAACTAATAATCGATGAAAAAAAAAAAGTAAATACTTCGCTTGGATGAAATATTCAACTGAATAAAGAAAAGATAAAATTGAAAAATAAAATTATTTCTTCTTTTTTCAGAATATTTTCCACCTTTTCTACTCATTTCTTACTTTTTCTTTCAATACGTTATTCATCTTCATTTTTTTTTAATATTCGGCCTTTCTTTCACTTTCTTTTTCTTCCAATTCGTGCTTTTTCTTTCTTTCGGTCTTTTTCCTCTTTTTTTTTTTTTATTTTTTCAATTCGCTATCTCCTTTCTTTATGTGCTTTTTCTTCTTTTCTTTCTTTTTTTCCTTTCAGTTTATTATTTTCTTTTTTTCTTTTTTTTTCCTTTCAGTTCATTATTTTCTTCTTTTTTTTTCTTTCTTTTTTTCGTTTCTTTTCTTCACGTTTTTTCCAGTTTTGTTTTTTTTCTTTTTCACTAGTTTTCTTTCTTTCTTTCTTTCTTTCTTTCTTTCTTTCTTTCTTTCTTTCTTTAAATATTGTATTATGTCTCTTTCCCTCTTTCGTTGTTTTTTCTTTCTCTCTTCCTTGCTTTCATTCATCCAAAGTATAAAAATGAAGACGATGAGAAAGAATAATACTGAATGAAAAAAAGTCGTTCACTCGTCACCTTCTTTTATCCTTTTTCTTTCTTTCTATCTTTATCTGTTTTCCTTCTTTTATTTGTCTTGCATCCTTTTCTTTTTGTTTTTTCTTTCTTGCTTGCTTTCTTTTAGTTCATACATTATCCTTTTCTTTTACTTACCATTTCTTCTTTCAACTCTTTATTTGCCTTCTTTTTTCTTTCAACTAATTATTTTCTTTCTTTCTTTCTTTCTTTGTTTTCTAAGTAGTAATTTATCTTCTTTCTTTCTGTCTTTCTTTCTTTCGCTTTTTTCTTCGTTCCTTTCTTTCGCTCTTACATTCGTTCGCTTCTTTCTTTTCTTCGATCTTTCTTTCTTTCTATCTTTCAACTCGTTAATGATCAGCGTTTATTTCGTCATTCATCATTTCATTTTTCTTTCTCTCTTTTTCTCTCTTTCTTTCTTTCTTTCTTTCTTTCTTTCCTCCGTTCTTTCTTTTTTATTTTCTTTCGGCGAGTCATATATATCCTTTTAATTCATCATTTATAATTTTTCTTTCTTTTTCATTCTTTCAATTTATTATAATTGATTTTTTTCTTTTTGCTTTCGTTCTTTCAGTCAGTCATATTTATCATCTAATTCCTTTTTTTTTCTTTCATTCTTGTCTTTCTTTCTACTCCTCATTTATCTTCCCTTCCATTTGTCTTAAGGAAAACGAGAAAAAAGACAAAACATTAACTACAAGAAAACAGAATGCATAGTTGTTAACAAAATTTGGTTGATCGATTTCGTTTAGCGGCATATCAACGTCTCTATGGGTTATTTAATGCCAAAATCTGAATATTTTGAGCACAATTTTATGGCTTCGACTAAATATATTTTGAACGCAGTTGTATACCTTCAACTGCACAGAAAATGTATTGCTGGTCATTTTGCTATAAAATGTATTGATATTCATTTTGCTATATAATGTGTTCTTGGTCATTTTGCTTTAAAATGTATTGCTGGTCATTTTACTATAAAATGTATTGTTGGTCATTTTGCTATAAAATGTATTGTTGGTTATTTTGCTATAAAATCTATTGTTGGTTATTTTGCTATAAAATGTATTGTTGGTCATTTTGCGATAAAATGTATTGCTGGTCATTTTCCTAAAAAATGTATTGTTTATCATTTTGCTATAATATGTATTGCTGGTCATTTTGCTATAAAATGTATTGCTGGTCTTTTATGCAATTTTTGCAGAGATAACAAAAAGACAAAATTTATTAAGAGTTACAAAGGAGAAGAAATTATGGAGAGTCATGATCGTCTACGAACGAAGAATGAGTTTGTGTAAATGGATGGAAGATCAAGGTTCGGGAGAGATAACAGAATGACAATATTTATTAACAACTATCAGGTCATCCGATAAGTTCTGTCCGAATTTTAACTTTTTGTTAAAATGAACGAAATTTAAAGAGTATTTTATAATGTCTAATGGATCTGAACATTATTTTTATATTTAGATGCATTTAAACTGATCAAATTTTATTTCAGAGAACAATAAAATTAAATTTTGTTTGATTAAAACGCTGCTAACATGGAAGTACCCAAGAATCATTTGAGGCACATAATGCTTTATGAGTTCAAGAAAGGAAACTCAGCAGCCGAAGCGGCTAGAAACATTCATTCAGTTTATGGAGAGGAATGTGTGAATAAAAAGACTTGCAGAAGATGGTTTGCAAAATTCAGAGGTGGAGATTTCACCCTTGAAGATGAAGATCGAACCGGACGTCCAGTTGAGTTTGATGAAAATTTTTGGATAAACTTGTGACTGGCGAAGAAAAATGGATCATTTATCGAAATGTTAAGCGTCGTAGACAGTGGCTTGGTGAAGGGGAAGGACCCCAGCCACAGCCGAGAAAGGAACTTCATGGGCAAAAGTTTCTTTCAATCTGGTGTGATCGCCAAGGAATAATCCACTTTGAATTCTTACTACCTAATGCAACAATTAATATACTGTCAGCAATTAGAGCGTTTGAACCAAGCTTTGAGGAAAAAAAGAGCCGCTCTAGTGAATCGAAAAGAGGTGATGTTTCATCAGGACAATGCGCGACTCCACACAGCAAGAATCACGTCACAAAAGATCGAAGAACTTGGTTGGAAGAAAAATTTCATCCACCTTATTCTCCTGATCTTGCTCCTTCAGACTACCATTTGTTTCTGTAGCTTACAGAATCATTTGGAAGAAACAGCTTTTTTTGTAACACAGGAAAGAGGTAAAACTGACATTTGTGAGTTCTTCGAATCAAAGCCAAAATAATTTTACAATAATGGAATTAGTAAGCTTGTTAATAGATGGAAGGAAGTCATAGATAATTAGGGAAAATACATTGTCGATTTAATCTGTAATTAAATGTAACATTTGGTCACTTGTTTTCTTTATTCAAAATTCGGACAGAACTTATGGGATGACCTGATACAAACTATAAGAAATTGTGGAGAGCCATGATTGTCAACATCTTGAAGGTACACGGCACATAGAGGAAGTAGGATGAGTTTGTGTAAATGGATCGAAGAACAGGGTTAAGGACAGATGACAAAAAGACAAAATTTATTAAGAGTTACAACGGACAGGAAATTGTGGAGAGCCATGATCGCCAATGTCCTTTATTTAACTAGTTACTTTTCTTTTTTTTTTCGTTTATTCTTTTTCGTTTCTGTCTTTTTCTTTATTTACTTTTCTTTCTTTTATTTCTTCTTAATATTTTTCTTATTTTCATATTTTTTTTCTTTTCGAATAAAATACTCTCTTCATTTTCCTTCTTTCTTTATTCTCTTTTTCTTCATCTATATATTCCTTTTTTTTCTTTTTTCCCGCTTCTTTTTAATTCTAGCCTTTTAAGTTTTTTTCCTATCCTTTCTTTTCCATTTTTCTTTCTTTTTTTTCATTCTTAGAATTTTCTTCCTTTCTTTATTTTATATAATATTTTTATATATGTTTTCAATTTTTTAAAATTTCTTTTTCGTCTTTCATCTTTCTCTTCTCTTTCTATTTTCGTTTTACAAACTTTTCCTTCGACTTTTTTTCTTTTTCTTTTCTTTTTTCTTTCTTTCTTATTGTCACTTTTTTTATTTTCTTATATACTAATGTTCACTCAGTACAAGGCCCAAGAGCCACTCAAGGTAGATGTTTATTGTTTAGCGTTGTATGAACGTAAGAAAAAGCAATAAACACAATTCACGAGGATCTGTGTAATATATAACGGTTAACCCTAATCTGAAATTATGAAGAATATAATGAACGGGAAAAACATCTGTTCCACAAAGTAGCACTTGGGAGGAATCTCTCCAAGTGGAACTTACTACCTCCTATCGAAATGGGCAAGGTATGAGGATAATTCATTATCGGGTACGTGGTGTGACGGGTGCAGTTGCAGATCCTGCTATATATTCATAGGTTCTTGATTTAAAAAAAAAATCAAAGAATCTGCAATGTTATAGGTCCTTACCTAACATCTCAGCTTCAGTCACTTTCCTACCGCCCTAACGTAGCTTTTGTTTGCCTTTTCTATAAATATTTTCAGGTATTTCTTCTGATGAACATTCTGCTATGGTATGTAGACTTTAATTTCCGCGCAGTACTACATTGGCGGCAAAATTTCATCATTTTACAGTAAAAAATGGCTAGATGCAACCGTAAGTTCTATGCTAACAGTTTCTTCTGTTACATTTTTCGCTCGGGGAACTCACTTCCGGCTTCTTGCTTCCCAGACACCTTTGATGTTCAAAAATTTAAATTGTCGATCGTCATCTTCTGTCTTAAGGAGTGGTAACAATAAAAGAACAAGAATTGTTCTTTTATTGTTACCACTCCTTAATAGTGTGTTTATTTTTCTTATATTCTCTAACACTCAGTAGCCCCCTTCCGTCTTAGTGGCTTTATTGCCTTGCTTGGGGGGTGAAATGATTAAAAAAGACCTATTTATTTGCGTTCGCCGTTTTCTATATTCTCATCACTGATTCCTTTTTTTATTCCGAATCCCATACTTTCATTTTCGCTTCTTTTTTTTTAACTTTCTTTTACGACTCTTATAATTCAACTAGGTTTAGTTTCTTTATTTCATGCTTGGGATTTTTTTTTTTAATTTAATTATCTTTTTTTTTTGTTTTTTTTTTGTTCTTACATTTTCGTTTGCTTTCTTTCTTGTTTGTTTTTCTTTGCAATGAATCAAAATGCCTGACTGTCGAGAAATGGTAATCGTGCATTGCTGAATTGCCCTTTTTGAACATGGACATTTCCTACAGAACTTTTCTCCATTTTCTCGAGAGCTAAAATTAATATCCGTTATTTAAATGGCATTTTCATACGTTTTTCATCCAAAATCTTTTAATCTTGTGTATTCTTTTACTTCTTTATAAAAGTCGTCTGAACGCTTCGTTTCATATTTATTCAGTCATATTCTGTGTCATTTTTTTCTGATTTTTTGCAATCGAATCCTAAGCATTTATTTCAGGACAGTGTTTGGTTAAATATAATTTCTTGTATTTATTATACTAACAATTATTTAAATCTCTTTTATCGTCTTCGTCTATGTCTTTTTTTGTCATCTCTCTCTCTCTCTCTCTCTTCCTGTTTCCCTCTCTCTTTCTCTTTTGAGGATGTTGAAAATGGATGAAGCGATTTGATGTAATTGTCAATATATATGGGCGTCACTACAAAATAAATTGGAAAAAATTAATTGGCTATTTTTAGTTCGATTTTAATCTTTAAAAACAGATCGGCTCTCTTAAGTTACACGATTTATTGATTAAAATTTTCTTTCCTTTTTCTTTCTTTCTATCTTTCTTTCTTTCTTTTGTGTTTTTAATTGGTTCCCACTTCTGGCTTTAGGTTTCCTTCCTTTCGCTTTTACTTCCTTCCATCCTTCCTTCAATTACATTTGATTTTGGTTTGGTTTGTTTAATGGCATGTAAAACTTCAATGGGTTATTTAATGCCGACAAGATTTGAGGATAGATTCATATGAATAGAATATGTATTCTTTGGTTTAGATTGGTTTGGTTTATTTTGTTTTACGGCATATCAACCTCAATGGGTTATTTAATGCCAACAACATTTTTAAGATAGATTCGTATGAATGGAATATGTATTCTTTGGTTTAGATTGGTTTGGATTATTTTGCTTTACGGCATATCAACCTCAATGGGTTATTTAATGCCGAAAACAGTTTCAGGATAAATTCGTATGAATAGAATATGTATTCTTTAGTTTAAATTGGTTTGGTTTGTTTTGTTTTATGGCATATCAACCTCCATGGGTTATTTAATGCCGACAAGATTTTAGGATAGATTCGTATGAATAGAATATGTATTCTTTGGATTAGATTGGTTTGGTGTGTTTTGTTTTACGGCATATCAACCTCAATGGGTTATTTAATGCCAACAAATATTTTTTTCCTTCATAAATCTATTTTAGGTAATTTTTTTTTTCAAAAATCTGTTGCTGGCAGTATTATTTTTTTTTTTAAATATTTCTGGTATTAAAATCTATTTTTACACTTTCATAATGTTTTGACCCCAGTTACGGGGTTTACTATTTGCCCATAGCTGTGACCCTAACAGGTACTACTACCCAGGGTCAGGGTGGACCTGGGAACACCAGAGGCTATTCCACGCTCCTCAAAACCTCCTGATCAGAGGCCTTGCTGCTGGACGTAGTTTATCGTCATACCCAGGACTTTCAATTAGTTTTGCTTTCCTCCACTAGTTATTTCTCCATTTTTTTCCTTGCCAACTCATGCACCCAATTCCTCCTACTCTCTCTTTATTCCTACCTCCTTTTCATCCCTCTTTCCACTCTCCTTTATTTCCGTCCATCATTTCTTTCTCTCTCCCTCATGTCCTTCCTTCTTTCCTATCTCACTTCCATCTTTCTGTACTCCCTTACTTCTTTCTTCTTCTTCCCTCTTCCTTTTACCTCTCTACCACAACTTTAGCCTTTCTCTCTCCATTCCTTTCCTTCCTTCCCTCCCTCCCTTGCTTCATTCTATCCATCTTTCCCTCCATCTCCTTTCTATCCATACATCTTTTCTTCCTCTCTAACTCATTTCGTTCCATCCTCCCTTCACTTCCTTCCATCTTTCTGTAATCTTTAACTTCTTTCTCTCTCTCTCCCTCTTTTCCTCTCTCACCCGTTTACACTTTTCTCTCTTCATTACTACTCTCATGTATTCTTCCCTCCCTCTCTCTGTTCCTTCCTGCCCCGCCTGCTCTAATTTCCTTATTTCTTACCATCTTTTTCTACTCCTTATTTACTCCCACACATCCCTTCCTGTCTCTCTCTCTCTTTTTCCTTCATTTCTTTTTTATTTTCCCCTCATTACTTCAATCCGTCCTTCTTTACAATATTTTCCCACACTTCCTTCTTATTTTCACACTTCCTTCCTTCTTTTTTTTAAGTCTTTCTTCTTCCTTCAAGCTTTCTTTCTTTCTGTTTTTAGTTCTGCCTTTTTTCTTTTCTTTTCTTCGCTCTTCTATTTTCATTAATTTCTTCTTCTTCTTCTTCTTCTTCTTCTTCTTCTTCTTTCCACCTTCCTTTCTGCTTTTCTTTTCTTCGCCCTTCTATTTTTATTGGTATCGTCTTCTTCTTCTTCTTCTTCTTCTTTTTCTTCTTCTTCTTCTTCTTCTTCTTCTTTCCACCTTCCTTTCTGCCTTTTCTTTTCTTCGCCCTTCTATTTTTATTGGTATCGTCTTCTTCTTCTTCTTCTTCTTTCTTCTTCTTCTTCTTTTCTTCTTCTTCTTCTTCTTCTTTTCCACCTTCCTTTCTGCCTTTTCTTTTCTTCGCCCTTCTATTTTTATTGGTATCGTCTTCTTCTTCTTCTTCTTCTTCTTCTTTTCTTCTTCTTCTTCTTCTTCTTCTTCTTCTTTCCACCTTCCTTTCTGCCTTTTCTTTTCTTCGCCCTTCTATTTTTATTGGTATCGTCTTCTTCTTCTTCTTCTTCTTCTTCTTCTTCTTCTTCTTCTTCTTTTCCACCTTCCTTTCTGCCTTTTTCTTTTTCTTCGCCCTTTCTATTTTCATTGGTATCGTCTTCTTCTTCTTCTTCTTCTTCTTTCTTCTTTCCACCTTCCTTTCTGCCTTTTCTTTTCTTCTGCCCTTCTATTTTTATTGGTATCGTTTTTCTTCTTCTTCTTCTTCTTCTTCTTCTTCTTCTTCTTCTTCTTTCCACCTTCCTTTCTGCCTTTTCTTTTCTTCGCCCTTCTATTTTTATTGGTATCGTCTTCTTCTTCTTCTTCTTCTTCTTCTTATTCTTCTTCTTCTTCTTCTTCTTCTTCTTCTTCCAACCTTCCTTTCTGCCTTTTCTTTTCTTCGCCCTTCTATTTTTATTGGTATCGTCTTCTTCTTCTTCTTCTTCTTCTTCTTCTTCTTCTTTCCACCTTCCTTTTCTGCCTTTTCTTTTCTTCGCCCTTCTATTTTCATTGGTATCGTCTTCTTCTTCTTCTTCTTCTTCTTCTTCTTTTTCCACCTTCCTTTCTGCCTTTTCTTTTCTTCGCCCTTCTATTTTTTATTGGTATCGTTTTCTTCTTCTTCTTCTTCTTCTTCTTCTTCTTCTTCTTCTTTTTCCACCTTCCTTTCTGCCTTTTTCTTTTCTTCGCCCTTCTATTTTTATTGGTATCGTTTTCTTCTTCTTCTTCTTCTTCTTCTTCTTCTTTCCACCTTCCTTTCTGCCTTTTTTTTTTCTTCGCCCTTCTATTTTATTGGTATCGTCTTCTTCTTCTTCTTCTTCTTCTTTTTCTTCTTCTTCTTCTTCTTCTTCTTCCACCTTCCTTTCTGCCTTTTCTTTTCTTCGCCCTTCTATTTTTATTGGTATCGTTTTCTTCTTCTTCTTCTTCTTCTTCTTCTTCTTCTTCTTCTTCTTTCCACCTTCCTTTCTGCCTTTTCTTTTCTTCGCCCTTCTA